CATGTTTGCAGGGCTCGCAGATACGGCAGGTTGCGCCTGGCTCCATTGCAACTCTAGCTCCTGGCTTGAGGTGCTTCACCTTGGATCCCACTGCAGTCTGTCAGTCGGAGATATTTGAAAAGTAGTTATTATATTGACCTTTGTATACAATGCCAGCGGACTCGTGCCCGAGCACCATCGGGCTGTTGACCACAAAGTGCCCTGAGGGGTAATTAGATAATTCTGGCGAAATGACCTGACAAATAAAAATATACACGTACCAATTCTTCCATGTACTAGATAGTGGACCTGTTAAAAAGACAAGGCATGAGTTATTTGGGTTTATATCTAGGCGAGAGATCAATCACATCTGAGCCACAGATACCTATAGTCGAAAGTGATCAGATAACGTTCACAAGCACGAGCACCTTCACCTACCAGTCTTCTTGACTTCAACCAGCACATCATTGGGACCAACTTTTGTAGGGAAGGCGGTTTAGTCGGTATCTAGATCGAAGCTGTGGCAGGTGACCTACTTTCTGGAACGGGGCGTTCTTCAAAGACGACGTCCTCAACGCCACGAAGGACGAAGGATTTGTTTACTCCATACTCAGACATGGTGGTTGAGGGCAAGTTTAGTGAGCATTTGCTTGCAAGATAGAACTGGCGACCCGGTCCGTGGCATCTTGAATAACTCCGAAGTGCTTGCGCACATGATGGGGAGACTGGACAAAGAATGCTGCGATGCTATTTGGTTTTGAGGACCCTTTACATGTGATTGTGCTCGCATTATTGTTGTCCAGGAGTTGACGACTCAGGGCGACGAGAGTGCATTGAAAATGTCGAAATATGAGAAACTTCTCGTTTCATGCCTGAGAAGAGGTCATATGATTTTACATGAATTTTGGTATGCGAAATTGAGCGGTTCGTTTCAGGGCCAACATCATTGGTCGAGAAAGGGAAGAACAAAGCAACAGAATTTATCTCGCTTGCATCCTAGAGTCGTAAGGCCAGCAGTCTGCCAAGTAAGAGTTTACGACTTTATTTATCCAAGGAACGAGTTCAGAATACTGATGGTGTCTTCCGTTCTTCAAATTTGTTTCATGTTGTAGTGCCGCTGGCGTATAATCAGTATGTGCTCTACAACATTGCTTTTCTATGCGCTTTTACTAACAAAAAGTCGTTTTTCAAAATAATCTATTTTATACCGATAATAATGTCACCTATTGTCGATAAATTTCCTCCTCAACGCGCCGCATGACTTTGTCGTGCATAGGGATTTGCCTCCAGCAGGAGGGTTTGAAACTCTGAAATATAAACGAAATCTTCCTTATCGTGGCCCAAGTGGTCTCGTCCTTCTTCTTGGAACCATGGCCTTCTGTGGCTTTGGCTTTTATCGTTATGGTCAAGGTGCAAATGAACGAAGGTAAGTTTGTGAAGATCACACGATTCAGTCGTCTTCTGTCAGATCTGGGCGCGTTTGTCATCAGTCTATACACCCACATAACCCCCCAGCATTATGTCCTTCGGACTCCATTGACCGAGGTTAGCATCCCGGAGGGATTGCAAATGCTCCAAAGTCCCCTTTTACAACCCATATTGGAATTGTCTCACATGGGCCCTCTCTCGGATAGGCATTGCTGTATTCGTTTCTGAATCAACAGCTACGAAGACCTGCCCCATTCGTATCGCGAATGACTCCGGCGACAGGAGCAGATCTGATTTACTGGCTCAGATGCGTCGATCATCGAGGTTATTTCACGTTGTCCGTTCCATCACGTCGGGTTGTCCTCCTGAGATATAGGGAGGTGACGTCCAGCTATCAGCCACCATACCACGCCATATGCCTGTCCTCCCTCCCCGTCGTGGAGGGGTATAGAGATAGAAGAGGATGGGATGCGCGCTACCGTATTGCTGGACGGGGCCCGCACCCGCTCCAGTAGGAAGATAGCCAGTTGGATGGGAAGCGGCCAAGCGCCTTGTGGGCGGTACGCCATTCAAAAAGTCAGGTGCAAACTCGTACCGTCGTCGTGGAACGTTCTGTGACGGTGGATAGCATTTAGCGGCCAGAGCCCGTACACCTCGCAGGACCCCGGATGTCACACCCGCCCAGTCTCACAGCACCCTAGGCCTGCTGCCCTAAACAGGGAATACGGGGACAAATCAATGGCGGGGTCGATCCAATTGCGGAATCGCTGGCGTCTCGCCTTCTGGATTTATTAGGGCATCTCATTCTGTTGATATCTGTGTGCCTCTAGGGTTCCTATGATTTCGGTGGCTGGTGGCTGAAGTGACTGGTGACTATTTGGGGTCGGGAAACCGCCGATGTGGCCTTTGATAGGTATCCAACGAATTGGAACGTTGGAGGATTCCGCAGTTTGAATAACGTGCTCTCCATTATAATTACTAAAGGGCAATCTGGGCTTCTGGTCAGCGAGTTGCCGCTGAACGGGAATGGGCGGTGGACCGATGACGAGTGCCAATTTGTCTTTGGCAGTGTTGCTCTGTGCGCCGGTGTTATCTTGTCAATGGATCAATTAATCATAACAATGTCGCTGATTCATCGCTTAACAGAGAACTGAAGCGCGAAAAGACCTGGTCGCGGATCCATCTCATTCCTCTGTTAGAGGCTGAGCATGATCGGGACGTTTACCGCCGGACGATAGCTGAGAATGCCGTAGAAGCTGCCATTATGAGGCGACATTCGTCCTGGAAGGTGAGCTTCTCCATTGCACCACTCTGTTGAGGGACCCGGCAGCTGAAAGATAACCCCCTCATTCAGCCTGGAAATGGTGTTTACTTCTTCGATCGGGGTGATGAAGAAAGAGTTGTATAGGGTAAGGGTTGTCTGGCAGACCTTGCGAAGTCATCAGCCAATCATACTCTATCGTCACGTGTCTAGTATATAAGACCGCCATTAGTGAATACTACGCGCCCGCTCCTTGGACCCCCCCTCTTTTTCTCGTTTTCTTCTTCATCTTTTTTTGCGTTTCGATGTCTCAGTGGCACACGCTCACATCGTTACAAACTCAGCCGTTGTATCTGTCGCTTCATAACGGCTCCCAGGAGACGCTGGAGGCCGACGATCTCATGTCGCCAGAATTGCCCCCTCAGTCTCCTGTCTTTGATTTTGATGAGTTTCTGAACGAGTCGTCCTCATCCAAGATGTCCCAGTCCCATCAGATGTCAGACACGGCCTCAGCCACTACACAATTGGCGGTCCAAAGAGACAATGGCTCTCTTGGGCCGTGGCCAACTTGGGACCAAACGTCGACGGTCTTTCATGAAGAGACTCTGAATGCACTTCAACCCGGTTCTTCGTCTTTTCCTCAGTCCGCGTCAGCGATCAACCTATCCAGCTCAACGATGGCGTCCGCCACGTCGTTCTCTCACTATCCTTCATACAGTTCACAGCAGTCTATACCATTCAAATTCCAGGATGCGCAAGTTGCGAGCCCTCAGTCGATCCTATCGACGGTCTACGAAGCTCGGGCTCAGTTTCCCCCCTCGCAGTCAGCGCCCTATCAGCCGCCCTCTGCTTCATTTTCAGATTACGAACTGGGAATTACCGGGTCAGTTATCGGAATGGAGAACAATAATGACCTGTTCCAACTAGGGAAAATGGATGACCAGCAGATTCAACTTAGTTATCACGAGATCGGGAGATTGCCGTACGGTGACTCGGGGTACGCTGGAGCCCACCAATCAATGTACGCGCCCCAGTCCATTCATCAGTCAGTCTCTACAGAAGGCCGGACAGGCCAGCGACGCGTACTGGTGCCCCGCAGGGACTCCTCGGTCCCGCCATACGCCACTGATTACCGGAGCTCACAGTCCAAGGCTGGCTTTGTGGCCTCTGCGCCTACTCCATCCATGCTGTCCGACATCTCGTCGCTGTCGCCAGGGTCCCCGCGGTCGGTGCAGGGGGGCGTATCCATTCCAGGCTCGAGCCCATCCATCACATCAGTATCTCCTCGATACATCACTCCTACATCTCCAACAATTGCAGCGCAATTCTCGGCGTCACCTGCCCAGTTCTCTGCGTCACCGCATCAATTCGTCGGTGCGTCACCTGCGTTTATCGATGCATCGCCCATCACGTTTGTCAACCAAACCGCGCAATACTCGACGTCTGCTCGGTCTGATGAGCCGACATTCTCGTCGGCGCCCGAGTCGGCACCAGGCCACACGACCTCGTCGTTCAACTCCGCCAAACGCAGGCGGCCTACCATAAGCGACGGCGAAGAGGATTCAGATGAGAAGCGGAACGAAGGTGAGTTTTGTCAACGCCTATCGCTTTCTATCACGTCCCCCACGTCTTGCGAGTGGGAAGGATGCCCGCTCCCGGGGTCCTGTTTCGTCCCGATTAGGCAAAAACGTCGGCATTTTAGGAAGTTGGACCAAAGTGGCTGACAATTTGATTTGACGTCTAGACGTTCCTACCAAATCCGAGCTTCGTCCCCCTAAACAAGCTCCTTCCATGTGGCAAATATACTTCGCAGACTGGCTGCAGGATCATAAGACTCGCCATCCTCATGACAAGCTAAACGTCGCTCAGGCTGCAAAGGAAGCTGGCCAGCTCTACAAGACGCTCGATAACGGAACTAAAGAGGTATTCACCTTGTTTACATGTTGAGATTGTCAGTTGGCTAACCCCCTACACCTCCCCCCCGTGACTCCAGGACCTGAAGCGGCGCGTGTACCTCGAGAAGGATATCCGCGAACGGCGCCTCCAAGCATGGCAGCGTACGCTTACACCCGAAGATATCAAGCGAGAGAACAGATTCAGAGCCGCACAACGCAAGGCCGGCCTCTCACGTCGCGCCAATATCAAGGATCCCAATGCGCCCAAGAAGCCCTTGAGCGCATACTTCATGTTCCTCGCTCGGATTCGAAGTGATCCAGCGCTGGTTTATGAAGTGTTTGGTGACGAAACGGAAACCACGAGACAGAGTGTCCTTGCCGCTCGTCGTTGGAGAGAGATGAGTGATGAGGAGAAAAAGGTAGACCGCTCTCACTCTTCACCCTATAACCCGTAGAATGCTTGCTAATCATTACTTTCTTCACTATAGCCATTCCTCACCCAAGCCGAGCACGACAAGATCCAATATGAAGCCCTGCGGAAGATCTACGAGGAGCAAGCCGCCACCGCTAGTGGAAGCGATAGCTCCCGCTCTGCCAACCGCAAGCAGATGACAGGGACGGGATATATCGTTCCTCAGCAGATTCATTTCTCCGAAGACATCACCGCTGCCATCATCTCGGCTCGACCCAGCATCTCTGAGCCAGATGACATCCGCATGGTCTCTTATGACCCAGAGGCCACGATTACTGCAAGAAAGTCGAGCAACAAGGTCGCCCCCATCCCCATCTTCAGCTCCATCGGACCCATTCGTCGTCGAGTAACCCGCAAGGCGTCCAGAACCCGCCACTCTCTCGGTGACAGCACCACCCGCTCTTCCTCTACTACGGATGATGCCCGCGGAGGCTCTGACAGCGGCATAGAGTCCCCCGAGAGCGACGATGAGTGGGTGCCGGGCAAGTCCATCTGAAAAGAGGGACGACCACCTCGAGCATCCAACTAGCATGATCCTCGCTAGTGATTATCCCCCGTTATACCAAGCGGTATAACACAAACACCCTACGGACACCTCATTCTTGGCATACTTTCCAATATTTATCTATGATATATGCTCTGGCATATTTGATGGATTGCAACGATTTCGTTCTCTTTGGTATAGGAGCACCTTGTCCTATATCCCCTACTCACTTTGTCACGCTTCCCACTCATTCACGACCTCCCGTAATGATGTCCTTGCATCGGATGGCTCTCGCTAGTATTTAAACCCTTCTCCTCGTTCGATGATTGGGTATCATTACGATAGGCTGCCACGATTCTTCTTTACTCTTGATCCTGTATTGATATGGTCATCTCTTTCTCACTCTCTGTCTCTCTCCCTAACGATCCTTTAACGACCTTTCCATCTTGCTCCACGGTTTACCTCTGCATATTCTCTTCACCGTCACAGAACACGATCTTGACGATGTTTGGGCGTCGAACAGTGGACAGTTTCCCGCTCCTTTTCTGGGTCCGTTTTCCTCTTTTTTTTTTCACACATTCATATCTTGTGACGTCTTGTATGCATTACGTTCATCATCGATATCCCATTTGCGCGATA